GAGAGAGAGCCACCATGGAGCCAGCCTCCAGGTCACACATTCTGAATCTCTCCCGGTAATCCACAGACACGTGGTGATACACAGATTTAATAGAAATGGGTTAATCAAGATGTGAGAGTTAGCCAATAAGAGGCTAGAGCTAATAGGCCAGGAAATAATTTAATTAATACAATTTCCATGTGGTTATTTCAGGAGATAAGCAAGCCAGGCAGCCAGGACACAGCCTGCTGATTCCTCATACAACACCCATACATCCATTGGATGAAGAATGTGTATGTGCATTCTATCATAAATTAAGGGCTGTGAGCATGTCTATAGTGTCAGTACAGTGCTCTCCTTAGAAAGAATGATGGTTCTGTGATACCTAAACTCACCAACAAGATCACCCTTCAGTTAGAAGCCCTGTGTCCTCCAGAATTCTCCTTGTATAAAATGATGTAGACAGGGGCAGCTTCTGTGGTAGCACATACCTTTAATTCCAGCATTTGGGAGGCAGAGGCAGGCAGATTTCTCTGAGTTTGAGGCCAGCCTGGTCTACAAGAGCTAGTTTCAGGACAGTCAAAGACATACAGAGAAACCCTGTCTTAAAAAAAAAATTAAAAAAAAGAAATAGTTTTTAAAAGCCACATAGAGATGAAAATACACAGAGAGTCTAGATACTATATATTATTACATTGTCTTTGAATTGTTTGACTGCTGAGGAAGGAGAAAAAGCTGCTAAAAGACATTTGATTATAAATGCTACAGGATTAATCCAACATATATATTTTGAAAATGCCTTTGTAGTAAAAGGGGAGCGGCAGGTCAATTCCTGCCACCTGGCTCCCAGCCACCAGCCAGCTTTACCCAAAATAATTACATGGAAACTATATTCATTTAAACATTGCCTGGCCCATTAGCTCTAGCCTCTTACTGGTTAACTCTCACATCTTGATTAACCCATTTCTATTAATGTGTATCGCCACTTGATTATAGCTTACCAGCATGAGTCTAACCACCATCCATCTTGGGTAGGAGAAGCATGGAGTCTGCCTGACTCTGCTTTCTTTTCCCCAGCCTCCTGTTCTGTCTTCCCTGCCTACCTATGTTCTGACCTATCAGGCCAAGCAGTTTTCTTTATTAATTAACCAATGAAAGCAACAGATAAATAGAAGATCCTCCTACATCATGCCATGACTTCAAAATTTAAGTCAAATATATGTTACTTTGGAGAAGAGGTTTTGCTTATGTTTCCACAGGAAATGAGAAGCTATGGATTCATTTTGGGTTAAGATAAGGTTTGATCAAGGAAGACCCCCTGAAAAATCTCCAATGGAAACAGATGGCCCAGATGACCTAACATTTCAGAGCACCTTTGTTGCAGTTTTCTCTGAGTTCTACATCCAGAACAGCCTTAAGACTTCTGGTTGAGATGATCTAGGCTCACAGAATACTCCAGTCAGGACTTTACTATAAACCTAAATGTTCTTTAGGTCCCTATAAGATTATCAACACCCCCAATCAGCAAGAAGTAGCCTAGAAAACTATGCTCACATTGCTAAAAAATTGATTATGGATGTTTGTCTTTGTTTAGAGTGTTGGTTACAAATTGTTATTGATAGTCAGGAAATAGGCTAAACAAAGAAGATTAGATTCAGAGTTCTTGTTCTGAAAAGAAAAAAAAAGGAAATTCTGTGGGATAATGCTCTTGTAGCCTGTAAAGATTTGTCACTTATACTGGCTCAAGGTCCAGTAGCCAGGCAGGAAGGTATAAGTGGGCCAACCAGACTAGGAGAATTCTGGGGAGAGGAAAGGCTCAGTCTACAGTAGTCACCCAGACACATGAGGAAGCAAGATGAAAATGCTGCACTGAGAAAAGGTACCAAGCCACAAGGCTAAACATAGATAAGAATGATGGGTTAATTTAAGTTGTAAGATCTAATTAATAATAAGCCTGAGCCAACAGGCAAACCAGTTTATATTAATATAAGCCTTTGTGTGTTTCTTCAGGACTGAATGGCTGCAGGAGCAGGTGGGACAGAAACTTCTGTCTACAAGTTTCCTTCAGTCTCTTCAAGTAGCAGGGACCTACTGGTATTGTCTGTTTACTCAGCCTGGGCTATAGGCATTAATGATTCATAATGTAAAATTCTACTAAACAGTTTCATTTGAGGGGGCAGTATGAAGTAAGTAATCCAGAGGAAGAAGGCTTAGGAAGATGAAGGTGTGGAGACTGTCAACTATATTCCTGTTGTAATTTTTTTAAATGTGCATATGTGGGACATAGTGGAATATGATATCAGCTCTGGGGAGGCTGAGGCAGGGGTCTCAAGTTAAAGGCCAGCCTGAGCATTATCTTTGCACCCCATCTCAAAAAAAACTAGAAAAACTAAGAACCATACAGAGCTGAGATTTGGTTTTGTGGTACACATGAGTTCATACTTCAATCTCCCAGCACCACAAATAATCACAAGGAAATGAGACACATACTAGTGAAACTTAATTTGTGAGATATGGATCAAACATGTTGATTGTTTGGCTTTCATCTTAACTCTAGCTCAATATATTATTTGATACAGTATCTCTTTTTATGCTTATCATATTTTACAAGGAGATATATGAGGGCTGCAATTGCACTTGAGTGTAACTAAAGGTCAACTAAATAAAAATCAGGAGACTAACTGTATTTCTGACTTTGCTATTGTCTAACTGTTTGGCCACATGGTATGGGAAGTCCTTCTGTATATATGTTACTTTTATTGGTTAATGAATAAATCTCTTTCAGCCAGTAGCTTAGCAGAATAGAGCAAGGCAGGAATTCCAAGCAGATAGAGGAGGAAAGAAGGTGAAGTCAGGGGGACTCCATGTAGCCACAGCCAGAGACAGACATGCCAGAACCTTGCTGGTAAGCCACAGGCACATGGCAATACACATTAGTAGAAATGGGTTAATTTAAGATGTAAGAGGTAGCTAGAAAGATGCTTAAGCTATTGGCCAACTAGTATTGCAAATAATATAGTTTCTGAGTGATTATTTCAGGTCTGGGCATCCAGAAACAAACAGGCAGCCTCCCCCAAACAACCACATACTAGTAGTTTCCCATCTTTGGGCTTTAGTTTTCCTTTAGGAATTGATGAGAAATTTAGATAAGATAATCAATCATGAACCCTTTATGTTTCTGTGATGATAGAAATCTCCACAACAGACATTGGAGGCACTGGAAGGAACAAAACAGATATGATGTTGATCTGATTTTCATAACCATCTCTTCATTGATTGCTAGGATTGAATGGGGGAAAACCCCTTATGCTTCTAAATAATATTCATGTAGATACTCTTATTTAGATTGACAATTCACTTCCTAGTTTTTCTGAAGCTGCCTAATAGAAATATATGCTCTCTTTCTTTATATATCATCAAATATTTTTTCTATAAAGCGATCATTCTGAAATCTTAAATGATGCCACACAGAGATCTTGATAAAAGAACATCTAGGAAACTCAGAATTGAGACAGCTTTACACAGAGGCATAGATGACCTCATGTGGGAAATGACCACAGCAAAATTCACAAATGTCTTTATGTATGTCTGTCAAAATTTATCAGTGCATAAGATATCAAACATAGTTTGAAGGTTTATAATAAACAAACTTAAGGCTTCTATACAGAGCATTTATTTTTATATGCTTCTATTTAATAGCATATGCCATATGTTTACATACATGCTGGTATTTTACTCCAAAAATTATAGTTATCATTTCAAATTAGTGACCTTTTAATTTAAATTAATATATAATTAATATATATTTTATTTCCATTATAGGACATTTAGTGTATTTCTAATGGCTCATTTTAAGAAACATATACATAAAATCTTTCTTTTTTCTTCCATATTTGGGATGGTATCCAGAACTTCACAAATAGTAGGCAAGTGAGCTGTATCCTCAACATAAATTGGAAATTTAAAAAATATATCATATTAGTGTTATAGAACTACAGGTTTGATTGAACAGTTGAAAAAACGGGGTATCAACATTAGACTTTTAAAACTAATTCATAACTGTAAGAAAACATTTGATTTTTAAAAATATGATCAATATGAGTGAATAATTATGTATGGGACAATACTAGAGACTAGTGTATGAGTTAGAAAGACAATTTTTCATCAATGATTGCTTATAATTTTACCTTTAGAAACCTGGAAGAGGGCCAACAAGATGAATTAATGGGTAAAAGCACTTGCTACATAAGCTTGAGGACCTGAGCTCAACTCCCAGGACCCACATGGTAGAAAGAGACAACTGACACCCAAAAATTGTCTTCTAAGCTCCACATATGTGCCATAGCATGCCCATACACATGCACATGGGGGGGGAGTGAGAGAAAAAAAAGACAACAACAACAATAAATAAATAAATAAATAAAACATTCTTTTAAAAACATAGGAAGAATCATCTTTTAATTTTTTTCTTTTTGCTTTTGTGGTAGTAGATCTGACCCCAGGGGCATGCCCACACTAGGCCCATGCCCTAACACTAAACTATACCTGCATTCCTCTTTATATTTCCTTTGGAGACAGGATATCCCTAAATTATCCAGACAGGCCTTGAACATGTGATTCTCTTGCCGCATTCTTCTGAGTGGCTGCTTCGAAGATGTGTGCCACCACAGTCAGAAACCTGCTCTGTTGAATTTCAAGCATCCTGATAACTTGTGTCATTTCACAGCTTCTTTTTTTATTATGCAGTTTCACGGCTTCTTTAATATTAACTTGAATTACTGAAATAAGTAAACTATCAGCTTCAAAAGAAAATGGTCTGAGGTGGTTATCATTGGCAAACTTGAGAAGTTCCCCATGGAAATCTGCTTTCTGACATGAGTTCCCATGGGAATTTTCATATTCATGTAGTATTGGTTCTATCCTAGACTCACAACCATCTTATCTACACATTCACGTCCAACAATATTCCAAGATTATGGACAGTATGTATTAGTTACTTACATCACTGCTGCAACAACATACCTGACAAAAGCAAGTTAAGGATCAAAGGAAGGGTTTATTTGGGTTCAGAGTTTGGAGGTCCAGTCCATCATATTGAAAGTGGTCTCGCAGGAGGTTGAGTCAGTGAATCACGCTGTGGGGAAGAAGAGTACCATGGATGTTCATGGTCAGCCAGCTTTCTCCAATTCTTGCATTGAGGACTCAAGTCCACAGAATTGTCCTGCCTACATTTGGAGTGGGGTATCCTCACTTCAGTTAGCATAAACAAGGCTTTCCCGGTAGCTTATCTCTTAAAAGAGTCTAGATGCTGTCAAGTTAACAGTTAACACTGAGCATCATAGAGCTGATACACGAGTTGCAAAATTGTCTACTACCTTAAAGGAAAATTAGTTGTGGAGATGCTCAGCAACTTGGAGCTCCATTCAACCTTGCCCAAAGGCACAGCAATTTCTCCCATGATGTCTTGTGCTGGCAGCATAGGCTGGGCCCATCCCAGTGAGGGCAGTTCTAAGACTAGTGGAAGGGTATAAGAATTAACTGTCAACAGGCTGGGCATATCACAGACTGGAAGGCACCAAAAACATGTGACAGTGAGTCCCTCATACCACTGAATTCCATATTTTCTAATTTTTTAGAATTTACATGAGAAAGCTAGACAAGTATAAAAAGGTGACAATTTATTGACATTGAGATTAAGCGAAAAAGTAAGGCAAAGTGGAACAAGCCTGTAGTCCTGGTAATTGGAAGATGGGCTGCTACAATTTGAAGTCAGCCTGGCAAAACAGCAAGATTTTTGTATCAAAAAATCAAGAAGAAGGTGAGCTCTACCACCCTCAACCAGTACCCAAAATTCCCACATTCTCCTCCAGGGTCTAGCTTGGAGAGTACCCCGACCTCCTCATCCATGGTTTTTCTGTAACCCACTAGTCTGAGCCTGGGTCCCACAATCAGTTGACCAGCCTAGTTTGGCCTCCCCTGCCTGCACTACAAAGGAGTTCTAGGCTTGAGCCAGGGTCCACCCACCTATCCTCAAACTCACAAAGCTCTTTTATGACATATATAGTCTTTCCATCCAGCTATATATACTCTCACACTCCCGGTTTGGAACAGAAAGTACATCCTGTCCACCAGCCCAGTCCCTCTGTCCACCTGACTTCATACCACCCAAGTTGTTTCCAATCTCTAGACTCAACCCACATCTGACAGATTCTCTTCTTCCACAACCTGCTCCATTCACAACAAACTCAGAACTAACAAAAAAGTCCACATGCCTATAAATCATTACAAGAATACCAACAATATTAAAGTTCAAGCCAGTATCCTCTGTCCATCACGTATAAGTTCTGTAAAATATTTGCCAATGTGAATTACCTAGATGAACTCTAGACACAGAATTTAAATGAACAACCACCAATTTCATCACAGATTTAAAGAATATATAAAGAAACAGGTCAACAAAACCAAGGATAAAGGGCTTAAGGAGAGCTAGCCAAGAAAACACAAACAGAAGGCTAGTGGAAAAGATGAAGGCAATCCAAGACTTGGGAACAGAATTTAATTAAAAGATAGAAATATTGAAGAGGACTCAAGCTGGAATGAAATTGGAATTGAAAAACCCAATAACTTATTTAGAAAACTCAAAGGAAAGCCTCACAAATAGAAAAAAAATCAAGCAGGAAACAGAATATTGGGATTCAAAAGTAAAGTAGAAAATTTTAGACCAAATAAGTAAGGACTATAAAAAAATTAAAAACATAAGGAAAGGAACACACAGGAGATGTGGGACAACAGGAGAAGACCAAACCCCCTAATGATAGGCACAGATGAGAGAGAAGAATCCCAAGTCAATGGCACAGACCAGATCATCAACAAGATCATTATCTTAGTCACTGTTCTATTGCTGTGAAGAAACACCATGACCAAGGCATGCATACAAGTAACATATAGACAATACATGCCTCTCTGTGTGTGCACTGAATAGCGCTTAATGTAAAAATAGGCCATAAATTTGAAAATGAACAATGAAGGGTATATAGGAGGGTTTGGAGGGAAGAAAAGGAAGGGATAAATATAAAAATACAATAAATTAATAAAACCATATTTGTAAGATGACAAGCAACAAATGTCCCTCATGACAAGCACTATGAAGTTCTATTTGCTGGCTATGTGTGTAGTTCAGAAACACTTCTATAGCAGGTAAGAAGACAGGATTTGATCTTGGTACTACAAATGAATGAATGAATGATGAATGAATGAATGAATGAATGAATGAATGAATGAAATATGCTGCACACACATATTTCTTCTTTGGATGCAACATCTATCTACAACAAATTTTTGAAGGATACCTTTAATGTGTTCCAATGTTGCCGGTTTTAAGGTCATGGGCCCCCTTTAATCTTCTTGCCTGCTTCTAACTCTATCATCCTTGCATGAGAAATGACTCACCCCCAAGTACTCTACTTCCAGAATGAGTTCTCAGGCAATAACCTTTGTTGTAGCCAGCAAACTCTGCCAAATACCATGTACACCAGGCCAAAAACTTAAGGCTTCTCCTTGTTTCTTAGACAAAATTGAGGCTGTTTGGGTGGAGTTTACTCTCTTGCATTTGCCTCTTTGAAGTATCCTCTATTTTCTTGAATTCTCTCTTAACACTTAATTGCCAGTTTGCAAACGGTACAAAGACTGGTAAGCTGGATCCTGAACTTTGAAATCTGTTACATGTACCCAGAGGCCATAGGGAAAAGTGGGGGTGTCTTTCACTTTGAGTACTAACAAGCAATTATTTTCTATGATCTTCTTATTGGGTAACTTCCATACCCAGATTCAAAGTGCTGATATTTTAGGAGGCCTGAGGTGGTTGATTGCCCTTCTCAGATCTCCTCCATATTTATGAGGAGTTAGAGCCTTGATCTCTTGAGTTGATGGATGAGCAAGAATCTCCCCTTAGGACATCACATCAGGAGGCATGATGGGACTGGTGATAAGTCACACTGGCTGGGTTAAAACGGTGCTGCAGTTTAGTTCAAATTGTAGCTGTTGTTTTCATCCAGGAGGCTTAATCCTTTCCACCACAACTAGAATCTCAAGAGCTTCAGTTGTTGAACTGAAAGTCTGCAGAAAATAGAAATTATGATAATGAAATACTAGAGGCAGGCTACTTTATAAAGAAAAAAAAAGACTTCTGTAGCTCACAGTTTTAGAGGCTGTAAATTCAAACAACCTGGCAGTGTCAAGGACTCCATAGGCTGCTTTACATTATGGCATAAAGGCATGTGTATGTGTGTCTATGTGGTATTTCTCCTCCTCTTTATAAGGTTCACTGGAAGTGACTGCATCAACCTTTACCTCACGGTTTCATTGCTTGTTTGGTGTGTGTTTGGAGAGTGAAAAACTTGATGTCAAGTGTCTTCCCTTCTCAGTCTCCACCTTGTTTTCAGTGTCTCTCAGTGTACTTGGAACTCATTGATGGAGCTAAGCTAACTGGCAGTAAGTCTGGGGGATTATTCTGTCTCTGTTTTCCTAGCACTGAAATTACAAGTTCGTGCCACCTGTGCTTGCTTTTTGTTTGTTTGTTTGTTTTTGTATAGGTGTTGACAATCAAACTCAGGTATTCATGTTTGCAAGGCAAACACTTTAATGACTAAACCAACCATCTCCTAAGCCTTTGACCTTGACTAGGGCTTCTTCATGCTTGCAAGAGAAGCACTCTACCAAGTGAGCTATGTCCCCTGGCCTGTTTCTACATTCTTAATAGTAATAACAGATGATAGATATATATCATATTCAAAGCACACGGAGACATAATTAAGATTCTGTTATAAGTTAACTAAATATTAGCCCATTCAAAACATGGCCCAGTAGATTCGATTGTAGACTCCATGACTCTGCCTCCTGGTGCTTATGCCTTTGTGTTCTCCCCTCCCCTTCATGTGGCTGGGAGCTGTGACTTGCTTTTAACTAGTACAACGTTATGGGCGATGAGACACCATTCTCACAATTATAGCACATTAGGTAAGGCTCTAATGTGTCAGATAAAAGCAAACAAGAGACAGCAATACATCAAAATGCACAACTTCAAGTAACAGAAACAATCAAGAATGAAAAGGCAACCTGTGCAGCAGAAGAAGACGTTCGCACACCAATACCTGTAGACAGCCATTATCAAAGAAGAAACAACTGGAAGATGGCAAATGGTAGTTAAGAATGTGGCAAGATGGAAACCTGTGTACCCCATCGATGGGACTATACATTGTGCAGCCACTATGGAAAACAGTGGCAAATTCTCCAAAATACTAAAAGCCAAATGAGTGCAATGGAACACTCTCACTTCTTGATTAAAAAATAAAAGAAGTCAATAATTTAAAGCCAGGTTTGGTGGCTTATAACTCATGAGGCTAAGGCAGGAGGATTGTCAAGAGTTTGAGATCAGATGGGACAACACAGGACTATAGAGGAAGGACTATTACTCAGTTTTAAAGGAAGGTAATCCTGTCCTGTGCTAAAACAGGGATGAACCTTGAGGGCATTATGCCAAGTAAAATGAGGCAGTTGCAAAAGAAATAACTATGTAAATAGACAAATTCTGTGTGATTCTACTTACATAATCTATTAAAGGAGTTCAAACTCTTGGAGACGGAAAGTGGAACATGTCTAGCAGGACCTGGGTGGAAAGGAAAAAGGGAAGCCATTATTCCTGGGTACAGAGTTTTAGTTTTCAAGATGAGAAAGTTCTGGAGCGCTTCATCTGTTGTTATACTATGCACTTAAAATAGTTTCTAGAAAGCTGGGCATCATGGGGGGTTAACAACTTTAATCCCAGTGCCTGGGGTAAGGGGGCTGAGGCACGAAGTTACAGGTAGGCCTTATCTCAAAACAAACTTAACTAAAAATGTTTAAGATAATAAACTTTACGTAAGAGTTTTCACTCAAATAGATTTTTTTAAAGACTTGAACCTAGAGTGGCTCCCAGGAGCCCAAGGCTATGTCCCCAGTTAGTCCCTTGGGAAGCTGAGGATAGGGAACCTGAAATGACCCTATCCTATAGCAATACTGACGAATATCTTTCATATCACCATAGAACCTTCATCTGGTGATGGATGGAGATAGAGACAGAGACCCACACTGGAGCACTGGACTGAGCTCCCAAGGTCCCAATGAGGAGCAGATGGAGGGAGAACACGAGCAAGGATGTCAGGACCACGGGGGGTGCACCCACCCACTGAGACAGTGGGGGCTGATCTATTGGGAGCTCACCAAGGCCAGCTGGACTGTGACTGAAAAAGCATGGGATAAAACCGGACTCTCTGATCATGGCGAACAATGAGGACTGATGAGAAGCCAAGGTCAATGGCAAGGGGTTCTGATCCTACTTCATGTTCCGGCTTGGTGGGAGCCTAGCCAGTTTGGATGTTCACCTTCCTAGACATGGACGGAGGGGGGGAGGACCTTGGACTTTCCACAGGGCAAGGAACCATGACTGCTCTTTGGATTGGAGAGGGAGGAGGAGAGGAGTGGGGTAAGGGGGAGAAGAGTGGGGGGAGGGAGAGGGAAATGGGAGGCTGGGAGGAGGTGGAAACTTTTTTTTTCTTATTCTCAATAAAAAAAAAAGAAAAAAATTGTCTATTTACTCAAGAGACTTTGCTGGTTTATAAGTGGCCATGTAGGGTAAGACCGTATGGCAGGGAAACACAGGCACTTTCTAGAAACTCTAAGCAGCTTATAAGAGCTGAGGGCAGCCTCTAGCTAACAGGCAGCAAGAAGCCAAGGCCTTCAGTCAAGAAATGAATATGACAGGGCATGGCAAGATGGCATAATAGTTCATAGTATGTGTGCTTTCAGAAAACCTGAGTTCTGCTCCCAGCGCCCACATCAGGCTGATCATGATCACCTGTTGTAACTCTAGTGGTTTTCAACCTTCCAGGCAGGGAACCCTGACTGCTCTTTGGACTGGAGAGGGAGGGGGAGAGGAGCGGGGGGGGGGGAGGGGGAGAGGAGTGGGGGGAGGGGAAGAAGGGTGGGAGGAGGGGGAGGGAAATGGGAGGCTGGGAGGAGGCGGAAACTTTTTTTTCCTTTTCTCAATTAAAAAAAAGAAAATAAAGATGTTCTTGTTTTGAATAAATATTTTAAGTTGATTAAAGAATACTCTAAAAGATAACAAAGTTGTTTCTAGATTATTAATGTTCTATTTCTCTTTCTTAAGAAATAATTGAGAGGGATGAGGTTGTAGCTCAATTGATAGAGTTATTGTGTATCATGTGTTAAGCCCTGAATTCATTCCCAGCACTTTATAAACTGGGTGTAGTGCTGTATACCTGTCATCCCCAAACCTAGAGGTAGAGGCAGGAGAATCAAGTTTAATGTCAACCTTAGCTTTGTGGTGCATGCCTTTAATCCAAGCAGTCAGGTGCCAGAGGCAGCTGGATTGCTGAGTTTGAGGCCAGCCTGGTCTACAAAGTGAGTTCCAAGACAGCTAGGGCTAAATAGTGAGACTTTATCTCAGTAATACTAATGACAGCCAGGCAGTGGTGGCACACACCTTTAATTTTAGCACTTGGGAAGCAGAGGCACTCGGATCTCTGAGAGTTGAAGACCATCATGATTTACAGAGCGAGTGCCAGGATAGAATCTAAAGCTACATGGAGAAAATGTGTCTATAAAATAAAAATAATGATAATGATGAATATGACGATGATGATGAAGAAGTCATCCTTAAATACAGTTCCTCATGTTGAAGTGAACCCCCTCCCCCAGCCATAGAATTATTTTGTTGCTGCTTCATAACTGTAATTTTGCTAATGTTATGACTTGTAGTGTAATTATCTGATAAACAATTCAAAGGGGTTGTGACCTACAGGTCGAGAACCACTTCTCTAAGGTATCTGGTGCCTTCTGGAATTCTCAGGCATCTGTACTCACATTCAGATACACACACACACACACACACACACACACACACACACAAAGGCATACACCTAATTAAAAAAAACAAAATCAATCAGTTTAATAAAGAGACGAACACTGTCAAGGTCAATAATCTGAGTGAACTTGGACTTGGAGTGTTCCGTATAGGAAAGCCGCTTGGCTGACAAGTGGAGCAAATGAATCAGTGCAGCCCTGTCTGGACTCTTGAACTACATATTCTGAAGTAATAAACAAAGTGTGCTATTTTAAGCAGCTGAGTGTGTGGTGATTTTCTATGAGGTATCAGATAACAAATAGAAAAGAGATATAAAACATACATAAGACAGAATACATAAGACAACCTGCTTTCAAATAATTGCCTTCTAGGGGCATGGTCCACGCGAAATAGTCTAAAAATCTTTGGGGCATTGAATTTGTGGAAACTTGAAATGGGACGAGGAACAATAAACACTACTTTGACCATTTTTATTCTTTCCACTATCCCCATCTTTCCACTCAGTGACAGGAATTCCCTTTCTCTTAAAGATTCAAATCCGTTATAGTAAACAAGAAACACTTCTCTAAAGGTAAACTGCACCTTTAGAACGAGTTGTAATACTCGGCAACCTTGTATAATCCCCAAGTATCTCATATAAGATTCAACAAGTTGAAATGTTGACTCATTAAGCAAATACAAGTTTGCTAAATGCTAGATTCAATTACTATTCTAAAACGCTGCCAATCTAAATAGCAAAGTTTTGCTACAGCTGGAAGCTAATCTTGATTCTAAGTCATAGAAATATAATGTACTGCTAGCAGTAAATACATAACAAAACTCCTGTAAGTGTTCTGGCTTTCTAAACAAAAGCAAAGGAGGGAAGGACCTGCTTTTCCATGTCAGGAACGACACCACTGGTTAACTCAGGTAGAATGGGTGCTATTTTTAAAGCTCTTTGAAAAAAAACATTGCATAAGCTCTCAAGGTGACTCACAAATCATTGAGTCACGGGAAAGTGGGAGGAGTAACAGAAAATGCCTTTCAGCTTTCATTTCTACATACAGGATATTACTAGTTAATAAAGACAAAGTCACTTACTAAATGTTAGGAGTGGCCATGTGGTAACAGTTTAAACACCTCAGACAGACCGGATGTTGGAGACCATTGCATGCTTTCTCTCATTTAAAAAAAAATTCTCTGATTATGAAACCGAGGCAAGGCCATAGAAGTGGAGCCCTTAGCAGGGTCTGTCCAGGAAGGTCCTTAGCAAAAGTCAAGTCATTCCTCATAGACTTGGATACTCCAAGTCTATCAGGTGATCAAGGACTATGCAAGGCCAACTGTCCTCAAACATTTTGATCTCTGGACATCTAAAATTTAGTGACTCTAAGGAGTTTGGCTCTGAAAAGCCTAGGGAACATAACACAGAGGCACAAATTCCTGTAGTCATTGGAGTATTGATAACATCACACATTCAGTAATGCTAGAATTATTTCAAAATAAAAAGTTAAAGGAAACAAAAGAAGCACAGGGACTAGAGCAAGTATGCATTACAACAGCAAAGGAAACTAGAAGATGGTCAGATATCAGGGTGCTGAAAGAAAAATTCCAAACCTCAAAATTTCTGAGTAGTGAAAAATCCTTCAGTAATGTAAGAACATACATAATATACAAAACCAAGAGAATTTTTACCTTTATTAAAGGAAATTATGAAGTAAATCCCTCAGTCAGAAGGAAGTCCACAGGAAAGAACAGAGGTTTAAGAAGGAATAAGGAGGGGGAAGTAAAAACGAAAATATGTTAAATCTAGCCATGGCAACAATGATTCTCAACCTTCCTAACACTGCTAGCTCCCCACCATCACTTTGGTTTTTCGAGACAGGGTTTTTCTGTAGCTTTGGAGGCCTGTCCTGAAACTAGCTCTTGTAGACCAGGATGGCCTTGAACTCACTCACGGAGATCTGCCTGCCCCTCCTCCGAAGTTCTGGGCTTAAAGGCGTGTGCCACCACCACCACCTGCAATCTTTTAATACAGTTCTTCAGCTCTGCTTACCCCCAGCCATAAAATTATTTCCTTGTCACTCCATAATGTAATTTTGCTACTGTTATGAATCGTAAGGTGAATATCTGTGTTTTCTGATGTTCTTGGGTGACCCCTGTGAAAGGGTTGTTCCCTCTCCCCCAGAATCTCGACCCACAGGTTGAGAACTTCTGAACTAAAAGGAAAGACTTTGAGAAACCCTAGTAACTTTTATAAGAATTGACCTTAGAAAATCCGAGAAAACACAAGAAGATCAGGGGCATGGTGGTGCATGCCTTTAATCCTAGCACTGGGGAGGCAGAGGCAGACAGATCTCTTTCATCTGTGAATTCTAGGAAAACCCGAGTTTCAGGATAGCCAAGGCCTTGTCTCAAAAACGAAACAGAGCAGACCAAAAAGATGCAAGCACGCTCGCGTACACACACACACACACACACACACACACACACACACACACACACACACATTCCTTTAGTCATGAACACGATGACATCACTACATAGCAATGAACTGCCTGTGGAAAATTACAGCAAAAGGAGAAAAGGAAAAACTTATACCTCAGGACCACACTTTGAGAATGGCTGCTCTAATCTTTCTGCCATCCCCTAAAGCCAGGCTTTCTGAGTTTGCTTTTCTCAGCAATGTCGGGGTCACAGAGGCAACCCTCGTTTTCTATTTACAAAGGTTACTAGGGCACACGCGGGCACTCAGGCTTCCCGGAAGGGTCTCGCGGCGCCGCTAGAGCCTGCAAGGCTAAAGAGCAGCCCGGCGCCTCGCCCTGCCCCGCCCTCCCGGTTTGCGGGCCCCCCCCCCCCACTTCGCAGTCACCGGAGAGCCCGGAAGAGGGCGGTGCCCGGAAAAGAGGGTGGTGCTCCTTGCGGCTTCGCAGCCTTACTGGTTGGGATCTCTCCCGTCTCACGGCCCCGGGGCGGAGCTTCTGCGGCCATAAAAGGCAAGGTCTCGCCCCAGCTTAGCTGCGCAGCTCCTAAACCAAGTCTGCTGGTCTTTTGTCACATAGTGAGGTTCGCCAGGTCATGGTGCCAGCCTGACTGAGAAGAGGACGCTCCCGGGAGACGAATGAGGAACCACCTCCTCCTGCTGTTCAAGTACAGGGGCCTGGTGCGCAAAGGGAAGAAAAGCAAAAGACGAAAATGGCCAAATTCAAGATCCGTCCAGCCACTGCCTCGGACTGCAGTGACATCCTGCGACTGATCAAGGTAGGGAAAAGGTCGGGCTCTCCCTAGGGCGGAGGGTGGTTTCCCCGGGTAGTCCATACCCTTGGTTCTGAGATGTTGCCGGGTCAGTAATTCCCTTTTCTCAACCCGCCTACCCCAGCCCGGGTCAGGTCCAGTCCCAGCCTGCCCCATTTCCCCTTCTGTGAGCTGGCCGGGCCGGACAGGACTTTCATTGTTCTTTCTTTTTATTCGTGTCATTCCCAGGAACTGGCTAAATATGAATACATGGAAGATCAAGTAATGTTAACTGAGAAAGGTAACGAAGTCGTGGCGCGGGGTGGGGAGGGGGAGGGAGGAAATAAGCGTATCTGTTACCTGACTCCTACAAAACTCAACACTGTCTCCTCCCCCATCTTACAGATCTCCTAGAGGATGGTTTCGGAGAGCACCCCTTCTACCACTGCCTGGTTGCGGAAGTGCCTAAAGAGCACTGGACTCCTGAAGGTAACCCCTTCTCCCTGTCCGGAAGTCAGAGAGGACGAGTGTTGTATCAAAGCCGTAGAGTCTACTGTGCAGGACCTGTGACTACACGGGTGGAAGTTACTGAGAAGCTGGCCAGAAATAACAGCCAGCCAGTGTGCAGATGACTGAGGAAAAAGAAAATGTACGCGCTGTAACTTTATAGCAGGGCGGGTAAAGAGAGCTGGTTAAGCGAGTGAGTATCAGAGTGCTATGGAGACCCGGAGGAGTTAGGTATAATGTCATTTGTTGTAATTCAGTTTCATAAGAATAGTTTTTGTTTGACCCTAACCTAACCTTTTTTTTGTAATTGTGTTAAATCACATTTTTTTCTTTAATTTGTCCCAATCCTCAGGTTACAGTCTCTAGCTTCGCCATGTACATGGCCCTTCTGTGTACATGGATGGGCGGGGAGGTAACTAAAAGATCCTTTACACAATAAAGTAGATGATCATGATAAATGAGGTAAGGTCCTATTATCACACACTTGAAACATGGTAGATCAGAACCTTAATTCGCTTCCTGTCTGTTTGCAAAGAAATGGAAACTGGCTAGAAAGTTGAATTTGCAACCGTTGCTTCCATTTGGAATTGAATTGACACTCCTTATGAGGGTGTCAATTTTTAATTGTTTTTTTTTATTTTTTTTAATGTATTTCTTTTTTTGCTGACCCTTGTTGACTGGCCAAAAGAGGGCTAAAAGGGGAAGTTGCTTGGGTGGATGCTTTCTTCAGTTTTCTTCTGACGTCTGTTCCTTAGGCTAGAAGGCAATCAGAACACCCCCACGATGAGCTAGCTTTTAGAAGTACGTGCGGGTGTTACGTAACACCTGTATCTCATTACTGCTACTTCTCCTGCCTCAGAAATGGGGGAAAGTAAATTGAAAACTTTTGCGTGGGAAGGCATGTTCTGAAAGTCAACATTGTCCTTTTGGCCTGGTGTTCTGACCTTAAGGAAGCAAGAGTCGGTAAACTACACATGCTCCCTCTTCTAAACCGCTGTGTAAACCCAGCTTTGGCCAAGCCCACATACCAGTATGTCATTAGGGTGTGAATAATGTGTGTGCTTAGTTTAAGGCCGTGGCAGTTTTTCTCTGGTACACGTAATGAAAGTGTTTTCACTTCCGGAGTGTGAGCCCAGCAGACTGCGGACTAGCCAGCCCACGGGTGTATTCTAGCTTCAACTAGCTCTAATGTGTGCTTTTTGCAATTATGTCTGAGACCAGAGAAATCGTCCATCATTGGTCTGCACTGTGCTAGCGTAAACAGGAGGCAGTCCGGTTCATGGCTACTGTTTCCATGATGCATGCATGTATATTTTCTTAAAATCTTACAATAGGCTTCTGATTCTGCCAATACAGCTTGAATGGTTTGATTTTCTTCTCTGTATCTCATGGGATACTCTTATTACAGGGCACAGCATTGTTGGTTTCGCCATGTACTATTTTACCTATGATCCATGGATTGGCAAGTTACTGTATCTTGAAGACTTCTTCGTGATGAGTGATTACAGAGGTATGCTTGAATTTGGGACTGGAGACAGTTTAAAGAGAAATCAGAGCTCTAGGACCTTAACATGACTAATTTGAATTGTCTTGCTTTCTTTTAGGCTTTGGTATAGGATCGGAAATTTTGAAGAATCTAAGCCAGGTATGTTCACCAGCATTTCACTAATATACCCCAGGCTGGCCTGATATTCATTAAGTAGCCCTGGCTGGCCTCAGGATCGCCTCCACCTCCCTAGTGCTGGGATTCTAGATGTCGCCCAACATACCCAACTGTCCTAGATTTAGGCTTCTGAATTTGTAAGAGTTATTGGGTTACTGGAACAAATGAATCAAAATTGGTTCTTGGCACGCGGATGAAATGTCACTGGGCTTACGTTTTCCCTCTCATTCCAGGTTGCCATGAAGTGTCGCTGCAGTAGTATGCACTTCTTGGTTGCAGAGTGGAATGAACCATCTATCAACTTCTACAAACGAAGAGGTGCTTCTGACCTGTCCAGTGAAGAGGGATGGAGGCTCTTCAAGATCGACAAAGAGTACTTGCTGAAAATGGCAGCAGAGGAGTGAGGAGTGCTGGTGCAGACGACGACAACCTCCATTGTACTTTAGAATAAATTCTCAACTTACCTTGCTTTCTATCTTGTTCGTAGTGAAATAATAGCGTGAGCACCCATTCCAAAGCTTTATTACCAGTGGCGTTGTTGCATGTTTGAAAGGCAGTCTGTTTAAAATGGCAGTCATGTATGTGGTTTGGAGGCAGAGTTTTTGAACATCTTTTGATGAACAACAAGTTGGTGTGATCTTACTTTTTATGAAAAACAAAACTTCATTCTTGTGAGTCATTTAAATGTGTACAATGTACACACTGGTACTTAGAGTTTCTGTTTTGATTCTTTTTTAATAAACTACTCTTTGATTTAATTATTCAGCATAAGCATTTTAATTTAGTTATTTAGCATAATCCCATCTTACTCCTTTTTCTTGTAACCAAAATAATATGTAAAATCAACGTGTCCCTTCAACAGCTCTCAGGAACTGGTGAACATCAATGGTAGCGGTCGCCTCATGTTTGCAATGTCCTGGATTTCATTTCTAGTGCCACAAAAGAAAGAAAGGGGAGAAAATGGGTCGGGAAGGAAAGAAAGAACGGGTGATGCATGCGATGAATAAGCCCATTGTTGTACAATGTTGTAAAATGTTGAAGGTGGGTTTATGGAACACTAAAATCAGGGATAAAAGCATCTTGTCCCCAATGACCTCAAAATCGGGAAAACAAGCATCTTGTCCCCAGTGACCTCATCCCACACAAAGTGCTCTTTGAAGAAAAACTTAAGTGGGTCATTCTGCTAATCAAGCAGGAGCAAAAAGCTGCTTTTTAACGAGAAGACTGCGACTCCAGAGAGTGATCTTGAGGTACTGTGCTGACATAATGTCCTTATAGTAAAGACAGAGCTGGCGTCTTCCAAACCACTAGGGAGAAGTAAGCAAATACATTTCTCAGGAACTGAAAAGGGGCCTTTTAAAGAGCAAAGGGGAAAGACAGTTTTCTTAGATCTGGGAACTCTAATTACTCACTATATTGACCTGCATTCCCAAACCCACTAATTTGCACCACCATAAAACTGATCTGTTACGAGTCACTGAAAACTAGTGCCCAAGATTCGTGTTTTCCAAAAGCAGTTACAGGATCCTTGCCAAGCGGTAGGGAATACTGAACTCTTCCGTGGAAATAAATGTGGCTCTATATTCCTTTGCGTCTGTTTTTGTTACACAGTTCTGGATTAGAAGGTAGCCATATAGAAAGATGTTTTGTGCATCTCCTTAACGCTTTGGGGTTCATTGGTGACTCAGCATATCACGAAAACAGGCGGACAGAGTCCGTTCTCGGCCAGGGTCCTGTTCAGATGACCAGGAACAGAAATGCTGCCAAAAATCAAAGGCTAACCGAACACAAAGAGCCTTGTGAAGAAGGAAGAGATTTTGAAGGTTGTGTTTTGGAAACTGGGCCTCTTAGAGGAAAATAACTACATGCTGCTGACTGTGGTTAAATATATGAATAAATCAACCCAGTGAGTTCCAATCTAATCTTTTGTCTTCACACCTTAAGGGAGCTGTGCTGGAAAGACGGAGCACTTGTGAAACTTGGGTTCACACTTTAGAGGAGTCCCTTAGAAGTAAAATTCTAGAAACTCAGACCGCCATCAACCCACTTAATATTCAACTCCATTATAGTGATACTTCTATCCAAACAGCTACAGAGCCAGGCATAGTACTGCACACCCAGGAAGGCTGAGGCAAGGGCTGAAGTTTGAGGCCTATCTGGCCTACACAAGGAACTTTGTCTCAAAAGCAAACAAACAAACCAAGCCACAACAATAACAAAAACCACCTGGGTACAGGAACACATGCGTAAAATCTCAATTGCTTGACATACTGAGGCAGGGGCATCACTTTTTTCCCATGAGTTTGAGGCCATCCTCCGGAGCATACTAAGCCCTCAAGAAATTTACGCTGGGCAGTGGTAGCACACAATTTAGCACTCAGGAGGTAGAGGTAAGCAGATCTCTGTGAGTTTGAGGCCAGTCTGGTCTACAGAGTGAGTTCCATGACAGCCAGAACAAAAAACTTTGTCTTAAAACTCCCCCAGCCAAAAAAAAAAAAAGAAAAGAAAAGAAAAGAAAAAGGGAAATAGAAAGAGAGAGAGAAGAGAGAAAAGAAAAAGGTATGTTTAAGACTTTTAGTCAATATGTGGATTAAAAAACAGGTTATGAAGAATATTATCTACAAAGAAACAATAAGCAATAAGCCTAAAAGGAAAAGAAAAAAATGAGTCTGTGTAAACAATAATTTAAAAGATAAAGTTTTATACTGGGCCTAGTGCTCATGACTATAATCCCAGCACGGGAGAAAATGAGACAGGGGTTCAATGCCAGCATGTTCTATAATGTGAGACCTTTTATTAAAAAAATAATAAGATAACATTAAGAAGAATGCTTTAGTGCATACTTATAATCCTAGCACTTGGGAAGCTTTGGCTGAAGGACCAGGAGTTGAAGGCCATCCTTGGCTACATAGTGAATTTGAGGCCAGCATGTATTACATGAGACCTTGTCTCAAAAAAAGAAAAAGGAGCTACAGGAGAGACAGCTCAGGGGTTAAGAGCCCTGACTGCACTTACAAAGAACCAGGTTTCAATTCTCAGCCCTTACATTGTGGCTCTGCCACTCCAGTTCCAAGGGGATCTGATGCCCTCTTCTGGCCAGTGTGGGCACTGCATGCACAAGCTACACAGGCATATGCAGGCAAGACATTCAAACACATAAAATAAAAATGAACCTTTAAAAAATGAAATATTGCTTTAGAATTATCTCTACTAAAGATTATGCCGAACATAATCGCTTAAAAGGGATAGTATTTGAGAACTAAGGACTTTGTAATTATCATTTTGTGATTTGCTGTTTACTTTTTTTCTAAATATCTTTTATTTTTTCTATTTATGGTGTCCTCAAAGGTGTACAAAAACTCAGTTTTCAGACTATTAAAGCAAGAAATAAGTGGGATTTGTTTCTGAATAGTCAGCCATGAAGCATATCACTACTGATCAAATTATAGGTTAGACAATGGACCATGGTTTATCGTTATTTGAACCAGAGTTCGGGATCATGATATTTAGTGTTGAAGTAAGGAGCGGCGGGACTGCGTCCCCAACACCCCGGCTGCTTGGCTAGCTCATGCCCGAAATAACAACACACAAACTGTATTCATTTAAGAACTGCTTGGCCCCTGAACTCTAGCCCTTACAGGCTAATTCTCGCACCTGGACTAGCCCATTTCTAATGATGTGTGTAAGCACCCCAAGGTGCGCTTACTGGGAAGAGTCTAGCCTCCGTCCATCATGGTGTCTCTGCTCCAGAGTGCAGAGATATCGAGTCTCTGCGGGAGCAGAACAGAGTCTGACCTCACTTCCTCTTCCGCCCAGCATCCTATTCTGTTTTCTCCTCCCATCTATGCTTTAACCTATGAGGGCCAGCCAAGCAGTTTCTTTATTGCTCAGCCAATGAAATCAACAGATTGATATGACACTCCCACATCACTTCCCCTTTTTCTGTTTAAACAAAAAAAAGAAGGCTTTAACTTAACATCCAAAGCTCTAGAAATGACAGAGACATCTCGCTGCCTGGACAGTCACCCAAAGTTCCTCTGTACCGTTGGGGCATCCATCTTCGGCCTACAGGCCCATAGTTTCCAGCAGACATTTCCACAAAGCAGGAAATTTCAAAGGCAGTCACTATCTGCTTGTCCTGAAGAATGTCTTGCAGACTCTTTCATGAATCAGGAACCCCGAAAGATCATCTCACCTTTAGGCAAGTTCAGCAGTCCTCTCTCTGCGGGTTCTCTGTGTCCAGTTTATGCAATAGTCCAGGCAAGAGCAGTTTCTTGCCCAAATGGCTATCAAACTCCATAAGGATCCTCTTCGATGCCCATCTTCCTCTTGAAGTAGATTGGTGCTGCCAGGAGCAGAGTGTCTCATTGTCATGAAAAGTCCTAAGTTATTAAAACATTTAAAATGCCATATTCTATAATCTTTGAAAAATATGAAGAATGCCTATCTAAAATATATCTATGCACATCTAGAAAATCTTAACTAACATGACTACAAACTTAACTATTATTAATGATTATTCATTAACAACCTATATACATTACAAAATTAACCTTAAATTTAAATCACTAAAGCAAAATCCATATCAATGTAAATTATTCATACCTATATCATCTCCCCCTTTAAATGTAAAAGAACATTTATAAACAATATTTGGGAACATGGGCGCAGTTTTTTCTCTCCAAACTGCTTCCTGCTGAATGGGGGCGTCGTTAATTAGGTCTTTCATGGTATAACCTGTGTGCTAGTTTCATCTCAGTTGGCAGTTGAGCGAAGCAATTTTCTGAAGGTATTCACAGCAACCGTTCAGGAGGGCGTGGTCCATCATACCATATCGGAATAGAAGAAATGAACAGGGTCTCATCCTCTGTGAAAACAAAATAAGAAACTCCTTTCCAAAGTATCATGTCCTTAGATCCAAATTTCAAAGTCAAGGCATCAAAATCTCTACGATGGATTAGTTCAGCAGCATTTATAAACAAATATCTTTTAGCATCTGTTGCTCCTTCCTCAGCATTCAAACAATTCAAAGAGAGCATAATAGTATACAGTATCAAGATTCTCTGTGTATTTTCCATCTTTGTACGCTTTATTTTAACCTCTATTTCGTTTATTTTTACTTTTATTTTATATTCTCTGTATCTCTTTGACCTGGAATAACTCTGTAGACCAGGCTCTCCTTGAACTCTCAGAGATCCGCCTGTCTCTGCCTCCCAGGCATTGGGATTAAAGGTGTTTGCTACCACACCTTGAACTCACAGAGATCTGTTTGTCTCTGCCTTCTAGGCACTGGGATTAAAGGCGTGTGCTACCACACCTTGAAGTCACAGAGGTCAATCTCCCTCTGCCTCCCAAGTGTTGGGATTAAAGGCGTGTACTACCACACACAACTTCTCTTTTTCTTACTTTTTTTTTAAAACTTTTAACTTTTAGCTTGCATATATTTTTAACACACTGTAAATCATTTAAACATTTTCTTTATCTTTGAATCTCTTTACTGTATATCTCTCTTTTTCTGACCACACGAGCCTTTAAATTACTGAGCAATATGAGTAGGATTAAAGCCGTGGCTTTGCCAGCTAGATCCAGTCCATTCCTTAGCTTTCCAGCCTCATGGCGGAGATACAGGCTGTAGCCATGTTTATAGCCACAATTCTATGGCGTTTCAAGGTCCCTGCCAGCCAGCGAGCTACAACAGACAACAGTCAAGTCCTCTCTCGGTAGTTGGCCCTCCTGCCTCAGTCAGAGTTTGCCCTGG